GTCATAATTTCAAGATTTTATCTCGTAATTACAAGATAATGTACCGATTTTTATTTATTTATTCAGTGAATGCAATGCGCTTCCCTAAGGAAGAGTCTAAAAGCCAGGTTGAAAGAATGGCCTTTGGTAACAATCTGATACAGGAGTGATAGAGAATCAGCACCTAGGATTGGAGGGCGTGTGAGATGTACATGAACAAATAACAGGACCTGATGAGAGGTAAATAGAAGACACTTTTTGCTAACAGGTGGGTACTTTAATAAGCACAGCTTTTTAAAAGACTTTAATGATGAATACTTTTATAAAAGCATTCACCTTAAAAAAATTCAGAATGAGTCCAGTCTAGTTGGCAAAGAGGACCTGGGGGCATGTTAACCTTATCACGCCCACAAGAACGCCAGCGTTCCACCCACTTTTTGAAGGAGCTTATGTTTGAAATGTATTTTCCTGTCAGTAAAGGCCACTCCTTACCCTGTTTATGAAGCTCAGTCTAAGTTCAATCAGGAAGACTTTCTTTATGCTTCATTCATTCACAATTCTTTCTATCTCACTTCTTCCACTCAGCTCATTATGGGCGCTCACTCTTCCAGTTTAATCAATCAAATTGTGCCATGATCTCTATCGGCCAATCATGTTGCCACTGTTAAACTTTAAATAAGTTCTCCTGTCCTTAGGTGGAATCGTCGCACCCTCCCCGATCCCATTCAACTCCATTCAACTTGTCTAGAGCTCAGGGCAAGCTCATCAAAAGTGCACTCCTCATCACATCCAGATCCTCAGCTCCCTCTTCATCTCATCACCACTACTTCCACCACCACCGCAAGACTCCATAGGGGGTTTTCTCCAATCTACTGTGACTTCACCACCTCCCTTGAAATAGAGGGTTGACATCACAATGGGGTCTAATCACTATACATAATTAACATTTCTAGTACTTTTGTGCATAAATATTCTTTTACTCAGAATGATTCTCTCCTGATTGAACTATTTTATTTTGCTATGTGCTTTTGCTTTCCACTTTATTTTTTCACCAACACACCTTACTCTTACCTCACTCTGTTCTTCTCTCTTCCCATTACAGTTAATATTGTAGTTCAGTGATTTTAATACAAAATTGGATTTGTAAAGGTTTAACCTGCCAAGCTGTTATCCATTGCTATGTACAATGATGCAGCAAACAAAAAAGTGCAATGATTGGACTGACAAAAAGAGGCAGCACTCAATGGTTCCTTTGGGGTTTATTGATGTTTAGGCTTCAGCCCTGGAGTAAAAGTTGCTTTGAGTTGTTTGTTGTTGCACTTCATCATTTTTCACCTGTGTCATTTGTTAGTTACAGAGTATAAGCCTATGGCTGACAAAAGAAGAATGAACAGTGGCTAATAGCCAGACATTTGTTGACATTTACCAGTATCATTAATCTGTTACTGCCTCCAGAGTTACAACACATCCGATACATATTTATACTATGCCCTTAGTGTGTATATCTCACTTACTCATATCTATACTACTGTCTATACTTGTACTAATTCTGCACTTTATAGTTCAGTAACTGCTACTAATGTGTCATTTTGCTTACTGTATCTTAGTGTATTCATTTAACACTGTTAATACAGTCACAGACACTGTAGGTATCTTAGCATATTTATATTCAACCTTTACTATTTATTCTACTGAATATAGTCTATACATTACTCTGCAGTTTACTGCTAGATGCTTAATTGCATTGTTTGCTCAGTACTTTAACTTTGTGCAATGACAATAGTATGACCTCATCTAATCTGATATTGTCTAGAGAGAAACATGATATGCTACAAATCCTTTACTGTAAGATCCCCTATTACAAGCTTTTAAGAATTACCTGCACATTCAAATAGGTGACCTGAAAATTATAGAGAAGTCTGCACTGCAATTAGATTTTGAAACCAACCCCATAATAGTGATGGGCAAGTTGACACTTCACAAGAGCTAGCTCAAAGCTCAAGTCACACAGAATAAAATCAACTTGTATAAATTCAAAGATTACAATAAGAATTTTAAACTCGCAGTCACAGTTCACAGTCCCCAAAATGACTTAGTAAACATTAATTTCTTCCATTTTTCTAAGTGAGCAGCTCCAAGCTTTTCTCCAAGCTTTTCTCCAAGTAGAACCTTCTCCTACTTCAAACACTGCACTGCCCACTTCCCAAACTGTGATTAACTGTATACTAATATCAGACAGAGACACACAGAATTGTGCAGGCAGTGAGAAAAAACATGCAGTAAATGCATACTGTAGATGGAATGGAAATTTTATTTCGCCTGCATGAACCAAATTATCAGCTCAAAAACATAAAGTACAAAATTTATATTTTTCCAAGCAGGCCGGTCCAGGCCCCACCGCTGCCTTCATTACAGTTGCTATAGCAGGAAGATGCAGTATGATTTCAGTTCTGAAGAGCACACAATTTAGAGAAAGCAATACTAAATACTAAAAAAAAATTGTGACTGCTGGCTGGAGGTCTCACCCCTTGCTAATGATTTCTTGTGACCATCATTCACTCGCAGATATTTCCAAAGACTGGTCAGATGCTTCAATTTGATATGTCATTTCAACTTCGTTGCTGACGTGGCTGATAACGTGACATCATCCATTGGTCTGTGGACTCAAGTTCTGAAGCATTTCAGCTGCCACCCTCTTGGTTTATTGGAGCCAGAAGTAAACATATTTGGGCGAGAAGCTGGAGCTGGACTTTTTAACATGGGGGTCTCTGGGAAATGACTCGCTCTTGGAGTCAGCCTCAAGTGGCCATTGGAGGAACTACAGTTTTTGGCATTTCCATATTGGCTTCATTATTCAGCCCTAGAGGTTGCCACTTGGTTCATGCTGAATACTGCCAGTGGCCATATGGACAAAGCCAGCAGCAACACAACAAAAAGTGGGACAAATTAAAAATAATGAGCTATGCGTGTAATCCCTCTTCTAGCCATATCAGTGTACTGAACCATGAATCTCATCACAGTTTGACATAATTTTATCTGTAAAATCTGTATGAAGAAAATCTGAAATCAGCTCTCTTAGTTACAATAACTAAATGAATAAACAAACAAAATATGGTTCAACACTTGTTGAAGGGCGTTACACCCATAGACTGTACAGGATAATGGACGTAGCCACTGTGATGTCACCCACTTCTGCCATTTTAGGTCCTTGGATTTGACATTTTGGCCATTGCCATCTCAGATTTTTGAAGCCAGAAATGCCCAGATTTGGACGAGAGGGAGGAAATAACCCTAATGCCGGCTGCTAATTTGGTTAGCATGGTGCATTTACAGCTATGTACAACTGCGATTATAGCCTGCTAATGCTAATTTTCACTGACAGAAAAAAGAATTAGAAGATGCTCTCTTTGAAAAAAACTGAATATGGGACTCCATAAAGAATCTTTTAGCACAACCAAACGCTTAACAAGTCTTTCTCAGGCAACAAAAATGTTACAATTAACCTTCATGAACTGAAAACACACTCCATTACACTAACTAACCAGTGTTGTCACTGTGGTAGCAGCTTGTCAATGGATTGCACACACCTGTTACTCAAAGCAACTCTGGTCTACATTGCACAAAAATGAAGCCAAAGTATCCTGGATACATTGGCAGTCATCTCTCACTGGTGAAGTCACTTGGAGTCAGAGTCTGCGCAGTAGCAATCTCTACCAATATCTAGTCCCTGTCCATACATTCATCCAACCAATTGTGAGCAGTGTGATTGATAACGAGCATACCAATAAGCACACATAACTGTTAATTGTGACCTCAATCCCCCTTTTTTAACATTAAATTACTGATTATAACCAAATTTATCAGAAAAATGAACACTTGAGTGACAGGAAAGTGACAGGAACCATCTTTGGGAAAAATTTGGCGTGTACTTTGAGTTTTTAGTTTGGCCCATATTCCATCCACTAACATGGACAGGCGGGGTTTATGACCAGGCACTGGGGGGTGATCGAAATGTTTTGGCTTCACCTTTTAGGGGCTGTGATGTCGTCCATCTTTATATACAGTCTATGGTCAGAACATTTTAGAGCACTGATGGGTAAAGGACTGTACTGTATGTGGAGAGCGTCATTAGAGTAGATTAGTAGTAGATTCTTTTACTGTGGTTTTTTAATACTGCTTAGTAGCTGAGTTTATATTTTTCATTAGCTCTTGTTCATGTTCCCCCCACAACAATAAATAAATAAATAAAAGAAGAATAAAATAAGAACAGCTTTCATTTAGTTCTGTTATTTTTACTGTTTGTATTACTGTCTTTTATTTATTATGGTTTTACTGACTGAAAAGTCCATTTTGGAATTCTGTTTTCTAATTACTGACAGAGCCAGATAGCCTAGGCCCTACTGAAAGTGGCATGTTATTTAAGGATATGTTCAAATGTCACAGTGTTCAAAACAAAACAACGAATAAACAAAAAAAAAAAAAAAAAAGTTTTAATTTAAGTTCAGCTGAGCATTTTTTGCCTATTGCCTATAGTTTTTCTTATCATTGAGAAAAAGATGATTTGACATGAAGTCAAAAAATAAAAGTAGCTGTACATGTAGCGAACTACTTTTGCCATTTTCTCATAGCTTTGCTTGCTGCATTTTTGGGGATAACCTCAATGTGGTGAAAATTAATTTTGATGTAGAGTAACTGGCTTAGCTCATTACATTTCCTAAGGAGTTTGCCTAACACTGGTGTCACAGGAGGAAATAATGTTACAACTGACCCCACCCTCCCCTACTAGTTGAGCTCTCTTTCCCCACAGGCTGATTATATTCACTCGCTCTCTTCACCCTCTCTTAAATTTACTTCCATTGTGATAGAAAACGTGATCTCTGAATATAATAATATAATAATGACCCCCCCGCCCCCCCCTCTCTCTTTCTCTCTGTCTCTATCTTTCTCATCCCAGTCTTCAGTATCTCACTGCCTCCCCGCCGCCTCCCACTTGAACACTCTGTGCTCCCCCTGCACAGACAGTACCTAAGGAAGATCTTGATGTTGTTTGGCGTGTATCGGATGATGCTTAGTGTTACATCTAGCGGAGGATTCTGTCCTTTCCAGCGGGAGTAGGCGACTCTCCACGTCGTTTCAGGAGGACCAGACGTCGGGTAGCCTACCTGTCCTCAAAGACCCCGCCACCATGGATTTCTCCTTCATGGCAACGCAGGTACACCCGTCGCACTTTATTTCTGCTTTTCGTCCTCCTCATTAAAGTGAGGTGTAATATTATGGAGCTATATTTGTGTCTTTATTACATGCGAGAAAATAAATGATATGAGAGGGAAAAAAATGTTTGAGAGAAAAAAAAAATATTTGAGAGAAAAAGTTTTCACACTGATAGCAAAAAATAATATTTGAGACTAAAAAAAGTTTTGAGAGAAAGTATTTTGTCATAGAATATAAAAAAATTATTTGAGATTTAAAAAATGATTTCCAAGAAAAAAAATTCTCTCAAAAAACTTTTTTTCTCAGATATTATTTTTTTGCTGTCAGTGTGAAAACATTTTCTCTCTCAAAAAAAAATTGTTTCTCTCAAAACATTTTTCTTTTCTCTCTCAAAACCTAAGTCTTTGCTCTCATGTCAGGATTTTGCTCTCACTGCGAAAATAATGTCATGGGCGGGGCCACGTTCCTATTGGCCAGTCTCAATGGAATTGACAGCCGGGTGAGGATCGTCTTGGGAGTCGAACTCAACTGAATCATTCATCCACCATAGTCGATTCACCGGCATAGATGTGCTGCGTTATTTGGGAGCAGAGACTCCAATGTTTGGGTAAGATGGTGACACACACAATTGATGGGTAGCTAGCTGAGCAAGTTGGTTATCAAAATCATTCCTATAATGAATCCCTTTTCTCATGTAACGTTATTTTACCGAGACTGTGTTATTAACTGCACTAACCAGCTAGTGTTAACTTTATATCTAGCTAGGTTATCCCATTAGCGTTACTTTACTACGGTGCTTTTCTCTTCCAACATTCCATGTGTGGCAGAGTGAGCACTGCTACACCTCCGCCCTTAATTGGCATCAGCTGGGTCTAATTTCCAGTTGTCGGAACCTAATTGCGCAGCGGTGGCACCTGCGTTATTTGATCTTCCCCTCACAGGCGCGCTCACTTCTATCTGGCGTTTACCTGGCGTGCTTTGTGTGTGTCGTGCTCCAGTTTCTGTACCCAAACTTGGGACTCATAAGGTAGGCATGGGTGCTGCAATGTTTGTGAACTGTTAAAGCATATTATGGTGTCACAGCTACCGTGACTCTTCGCTTTACAGCAGCTTTGGCCGTTCCTGTTGTGTGCACCTTCGGAGGGGACTTTGAAAAGCGTGGTGTCTGCTCTTCCTCACTGCAAGACTGTGACTGGGTTTGAGCTGTGCGCTGTGCTTAAGCTCCCTTCGCTCCGGTAAGCTCGCTCTGTTTTTTTTATTTCTACTTCTGCTAATTCTGTTAACTTTATGTTAACAGGTTGTCCTGCTCTCTTGTCCTGCTGTAGCTGAGGCCACAGCTTGTGGCTTCTTCTCCTCCTCTGCGCACTGTGTGGGGCTGCACGGTGACGTGGACCATCAGCTAGGCATCCTGAAGGACGGCTATCCAAGGCCTCCAGCCCTGGTGCGGAAGCTCAATTTTCCACTGCTGTTCTGCAGGTTTACCACAGACAGATTAAAGCACACTGTAACGCGGCTGTGCATTCATGCGGCTTTGGACCTCTGTGTTATATTTGGAAGTCCGTCTCCTGTCCCCATATTTACCAGTGTACAGATCTGTGTGACCTTCTGTTGTTAAGAGTAGTCTACAGGTTTGAGTGTATTCCCTGGGGTGCAATTCCACAGGTGGTGTTGTTGGTTCATTTCCCTCTCCTCTCCATTTGGCCACACATGCATAAAGTTATATATGCATATCCGCTCCCAAATAACGCAGCACATCTATGCCGGTGAATCCACCATGGTGGATGAATGATTCAAATGAATTCGACTCCCAAGACGATCCTCACCTAGCTGTCAATTCCATTGAGACTGGCCAATAGGAACGTGGCCCCGCCCATGACATTATTTTCACAGTGAGAGCAAAATCCTGACACCAGAGCAAAGACTTAGGTTTTGAGAGAGAGAAGAAAAATGTTTTGAGAGAAACAATTTTTTTTTGAGAGAAAATGTTTTCACGCTGACAGCAAAAAAATAATATCTGAGAGTTAAAAAAAGTTTTTGAGAGAGTTTTTTTTCTTGGAAATCATTTTTTAAATCTAAAATTATTTTTTTTTATATTCTATGACAAAATACTTTCTCTCAAAACTTTTTTTTAGTCTCAAATATTATTATTTTTTCCTATCAGTATGAAAACTTTTTCTCTCAAATATTTTTTTTTCTCTCAAACATTTTTTTTCCCTCTCATATCATATATTTTCTCGCATGTAATAAAGACACAAATATAGCTCCATATAATATGCATTGATACAACAAACAGGTAGCCTATGTTTGTGACTCTGTTGGACCTTTTTTTCTTCTTCAAATACAGTGGTAAATATTTTTAGCTTCGATTGATATATTAACCAGATGGACACGGTTTACTGCTTCTACAATGCCAGACAAGTTCGCATTTTCACTTCACACTGCGCTGAACCAAGTCAATTACACTGTGACATCTGAAATATGACTTGTTACTAATAAACATGCTGCATCTGTTAACATTTGTTCTGTGAACAAAACTTTAGTCCATCTTTGCCAAGCCAGTCCCACATGCTGAATAATCCACAGGGTCTAGATATTATAATCTGTCTTGATACCATAGCAACTAGTTACTAGTTGCATCCTAAACCAGGGCTGAAATCACCTATTTCACATGGGGGGCATTTTATAAACACCTTCTGCAACCCAACCCTCTGGGGAGTGGACTCTGTAGCACAGCTATTTTTCTTTATATTTCTTTTCAATATATTGGGGGGATCATTTACACAGACTCCAGGGGTAGGCTCTGCCTTAAGACCCTCTCCACTGGCACCCTGTGGCTTTGACCTAAAATTATCTGGAAATGTTTTTTTGACATTCAGATTTTCATTTGTCAATAATGTAGGTTGAGAGTGATTATTGCATTCTACAAACATGTTTAGCCTACAACATCGAATCAAAAAATGTCTTCCTAGCAAGGCTAGCTCTGGATTCCAAAACTAAAGAAGATATAAACTTGGAGGAAAACAGAGGATTTAATAGTGTGTGGACTTGTTTCACTATCAAAGTTAAAGTAGTTAAAAATAGCCCAGTGCATGTAGCCACCATGTAGTAAATCATATCAATAAATAATCATTAAGACCTATTCGTCATGTTGATGGGCAAATTTGGACTTGATAGGTTAATACCTTTATTCAAATATGTTTTGCGTCTCCAGACAGACTTTTTTTTTTGGCCAATAATGGCTTTTTAATAGTAAAGGTTGCGGACTCCTGGTCTTTTCCTTGACATATTACCACCTTTTAAATGTAATGCGTATGATGCACTGTGCACTTACATCAACATGATGAGCTACGGTTAGTTAAACTAAATAGGTGTATCAAATTTTCTAACTTGTTGACATCAGTATAGGTCACTTTAAGTATGTGACTATGGATGGATTCACCTGCTGCTTGGCCTGTGATTTGTATTCATAAACAGGCACATTACTTGGCACATGGTTTGGTGTGTTGCAATATAACTGTTTTAAGATTTATTTATGAATATGCTTTCTGTAAGAAGAATGTCACTAAAATAGTAAAGGGTCTTAAACACTTCTGTGAATGAAACTTGCCCACAAACAAAGCACAAACAGGTAGTCTTATATGGCAATTTTAGAGGATGAGCACTCACCTCCTCAGGAACAGGTGGCATTCATCAGGCTGATGGTGACGATGCAAAAATATGCATCTATCAGCCACCCAAACCAGACCTGACCTGCAAACCACCAATCCTATACATCACTGTAGCACAATTGGTAGGACCGAGAACTCAAACCTCAGACAAGGACAGAGACGTTAGGACTTTCCAAGGTGTGTGTGTTTGAGAGAGACGGAGAGAGAGACAAAGAGAGAAAGGTTGGCGAAAGGTTGACACTAAGAACGTGCTTTGTCACTTTTTCACCCGCCTGCTGGAACCTTTGATATTTCTATCGTGTTACCAGTGAATTTAAAAAAAAACAAAAAACAAAACAGCTGTCAGCCCAGCTGATGTGCCTAATCTGCAAACTTCACATTTATTTTAAAGCTAGTATAGCATTGTGTCACTGTCACGATGGTGGATGCTAGAGGATGCCAAACATCTAATAACTCAAGAGCATTTAAAGTCCAAAAGTCAAACTTAATTAAATAAAGGTAAAGGAAATCCTTTCCAATATTCACAACATGTTGTTCTGTAAGGAAATATTCTGCTTCGATTCATATTTGATGCCGTTAAAAAAGAAATTCTTCCACTGTTACACTCCACTCCTGAGAGGCACACACTTTGACAAACAGCACCATAAATTATACTAATGACAGAAAGTTCTGCAAACACAGTGGTTAAGTTCAAGTTACAAAATTGTTTTTAATTTAATTATTCTATTTATGTTACTAGAACAGCTGAAGAAACAGCCTATTATTTGTTTATGAGATATCCTAACAAAACATTTTTAGGTGGCTTTTTGTTAGTTGGCTTTTTTAGGTAATTTGAAGTAAAAAACAAAAAATCTTTTAGATTTATTAGTTCAAGGCAGGGTCTGGAGGATTTTCCAGTTGCTGTTTGTAAACACACATTCAAATTCGGCCCCATCTATCAGGCTCAACTCTGTCGGGTGTACGGAGCCCGGAGGTACGGAAGAAGGCTTCACAGAAGAGGTTCAGGCAAGGCTCGCGCTGGTGCACACTTGGACACGCTCGGGCACGGCACCTGTGCTCTCTCATTGGCTGGGGAAATCTCCGCCCAGAAGCTGTCTGAGCTCACAAAAACATCAAAATACAGTTAAAGGGCAGGAGCTCTGCAAACAGAGTCACCACCACACATGAGTAGAAGCCCATAGGTGATGATTAAGCAGGATTTCATTTGTATATGTCTATATTTTGTTTTGTTTGAAAATCCTCCAGATCCTACCTTTAATAAATGTTGACTTCCAGTGAATATTTATTTACATATTAAGCTGTATATTTTCAGGAATCTGACGATTCTTGTTAC